CATCTCGTAATAGCTACAGGTGTTCCGCGGGGCAATGGACAAGTTGAACGAATACACCAAATTGTAGTACCAATGATTTCTAAGMTGTGCCGGGAAAAGCCTGGGATTTGGTATAGGCACGTAAATAGGGCACAACAAATTATTAACAATACACCAACGCGTAGTACCCAGTTTTCTCCAATTTTAACTGGCATAGAGATGAGGGTTTCGGGTATGATGGAAATAAATGAGTTGATAGAAAACGCCGCCTTGAATGAATTAGATTCAGACCGACAAGTGACAAGGGATCAGGYAAAACAAAATATTGCATTGATACAAAAGGAAAACAAACAAAATTTTGACAGAAAGAGGAAGGAATCAACAAAGTACAGACTGGACGAATTAGTCGCCATTAAGCGAACTCAGTATGGGAGCGGGCTTAGATTAAGGCCTAAATATTTTGGACCATATAAGATTTCGAAGGTTTTAGGACGCGATAGGTATGAAGTCGAGAAGGTCGGTGAGGGTGAGGGTCCTGGGTACACGACCACCATTGCCGAATTCATGAAAAAATGGAGASCTTCGTTCGAGTCGAACGAATAAGTCAGGAGGGCCGAATGTGGGATTGCAACCCTGACCTGACCTGACTTACGCACGCATGCAACCCTAAACATACACCCTGAATGAACGAACGAAATGAACGCCGACAAGCGACCGTTGAAAAGACATTATTCGATTCTGAGACTTCAACCGCAAAGGACGCATACTTTTAAGATAAGATATCTAGGTCGTAATCCATCAAAGTGTAAATTATTATAATTTTTATAAAATAAAAACCAAAAAATAAACAAATTACCTTTTTTTCAAATAAATAAGTGTTTCATCAATATTCGGCCCCCACATGTATGTAACTAAACTAAATATTTAATTTGCAAAGCGAAATATATTTAGCTATGATTTCTATGTTACTGTCATCAGTCCATTCTAGATATAAAGAAGGTTTTTTGTTAGAAAAAAACATTAACTCTGATTCGTTGAAGTGCCGGGCAAGTATCGAGGAGGTGTATAACTCTGACATCATTTGATCCGCAGAACACGCAATCTGGTTTATTTACGCCATTTAAGATGTGAGCATGTGTAGCAGTTGTGTGTCCTATTCGAAGTCTTATAAATGTCCTTATATTCTTACAAGTTGCTTTTCCTGGGTATATAGGCTTTGTTCCCGCAGGATTAAATTTTTTGTAGTGGTGATCGTGATTACTCCATTCTCTTACTTGGATTTTATTTACGTATGTTTCAACAAGTCTGCGTATATCTTTATCGGTGAAATAGTCAAAGAAGTGAAGTGGTTGTTTGGAAGCTTCTTTAGCCTTTTTATCGGCAATTTCGTTGCCATGAATTCCGATATGGCTAGGCACCCACATTATTTTTATACAGTTATTGCTTTGGAATAGCATGCTACGAATATTAGATATTAAAGGTTCATTATTGGTATTAAATATAGCTTCAATTGCAGATCTACTGTCGGTAAATATAATGCATTTATTTCCCATTCGGGAAGCAAATTGTACTGCCTCAAATATTGCGGCTGCTTCGGCAGTAAATACCGAGCAGTAGGATGGCAAGGAACCGACCATAATAGTAACACCTAGCTGGTTTGTCACAGCAAACGTTGTGCTGGTGTCTGACTTGGATCCGTCCGTATAATACAAGTTTCAATCATTATTTAAGAACTCTAATATCGCATTAAACATTTGTTTGTACTCATTACTGCTGGTAGAATATTTTGGGTACTTAAGTAGAGTATTGATGAGTGATGAATTTGGAAGCGCACTTGGAGGATACTTTGAATTTTTAAGAAGTGATGAAGTGGTTACGATGTTCAGCTGTTGAACTAGACTTAAGCAACGCATAATAGTCGACGGCTTACGACTAGCCTTAAGATTTCATATAGAACAATTGATTTGCGAAAAAAATTAATTCATTTCTGCAGTAAAGTAGCCTCGGTATAAGCATCACGGTGTTACGCATGGTCTGGTAGTTTATATGTGGTAATCCAGCTTCTGATAGAATTGCCTTAATTGGTGACGTTGGGAAGGCGCGAATGCTTCTTCTGACTGCTGCGTGGTAGGGTGCGTTCAAGAACATAATGTTTGTATTAGCGCAATGTCTGTAAATACAAAGACCGAAGTAAATTTTAGCTAATATTAAAGCTTTTGTTATATTGACAAGAGTATCTGTATGTACTAAGCAGTATTTCGATGATAAGAATTTAATTACATTCAACCTAGAAAAAAGACTTACTCTAACATATTTACAATGCTCTTTGAAAGTTCATTTGTTGTCGAATATAGTTCGTAAGATTCTTAATTTATTAGTATGTGGGAGATCGACGTTAGAAAAGAATATATTAGGAAAGGAGCACCTAATTTATAACCACGCTTAATTGGTTTCATAGGGCAATATTGTTTTATGGCACTTCTGCCCTTGAAAAGAATCATGGATTCGTCAACTGATAGCTCCTTCGTTAAATGGTATACCTGCTGAAAACGTTGATTTAGAGCTTCAATCATAGGACGAATTTTGAATAGCCGATCCTTATTGTTTTCCGGAATTTTAGAATTATCATTTACATGCAAAAAACGTTAAATCAAATCAAATCTGTTTCGGTACATGGCTTTTGATACTACGGGGCTGCCAGACCTTCACTGATACTCCAACGATAACTTGGCAGCTGATGGTAGCCTATACAAAAGTTTATGCCGATAAATGCCAATAGTTCACTTGTTTGTATATTCAAAATTTTATTTTTTTTACCGCATATAAATTTGAATGTCCATTGTCTTGGCGTTTCCATATCTTCAAAAAACCAGTTACTGGTCCCTCTTCTGAGTCAAATTGTGAAACCACGGTGGGTTTCTCAACTTTTTACCATTTTCGCAACGGGTCTTCAAAAACTGTGCTTCGGAAATTTTCCGGCAAAATATTTGTCTCTTCATTTTCTCTTCCTGAATATGGTGTAGAACTTCAATCAAAAACTGATCTTCATCGTTCGACGAAGTCATAACCTCTTCATCTTCATCCTCACTCTCAATATCCGTTTCTTGTGCATTATTAATTGGAATTTCTTCCAAAATAGAAGCAGTTTGATTTTCTGTCAAAAATCTGTCGTGAACTCCAGCCATTATATTATATTATCTGTATAAACCTGTATATAAGGAAAACAAGGTTGTTTGTAAAAAACAAGGGCCAACAGAGCCCGACGGTACTTACAAGTCTCCTTCAGAAAATCAAATATCACTGGTAAACAAAAATGGTAGACTCCTTTGCGTCTTCAATAAAAAATGGCAAATTAACAAGTTTCTCTTCCTAGAGAAATTTTAAGAATTTTGCAATATATAAGTAAAATAATACAACACTTTTTTTTACGACCGCACTATGGAAAACACTAACTTGAAATGAGCATAGAGAGCGAAAAATTCACGAATATTACGAAAAGTACTGTTATATGTGTGCTTTATTTTGTACTTTAAAGTACCGTTGGTCTGCTTGCAGCAAGAAGTTCAGCGATTCTGTTTAAAACAGAAAAATTCGAAGTGGTACTGGAGAGTACCGACAGACAACAAGGGTTAAGCCCTTAATGCCTTTTTTGACTTGAACAACCCCCCAGTTGAGCTTTATAAATTTATTGTATACTAACAGTATTTTGATAGAGTAGATTTCCTGCAAACTAGGTGCCAAAGTTCAGCAAATTCCGTATCAAGCTCACTCCATTTTTGACATACTCTTTCCAGCTTAGCATCTAAGGTGATATCTAGATACTTATCACTGTTATGATGTGGTATAGGAATATTATTTACATAAATCGGACGATATGTCGTCTTTATCAAGGCAAAGTAGGACGTGAATTGATTTGATGTCATTTAATTTGAGCGCCACTTATATGACCACTCAGCAATTGCGTTGACTGCTGTCTCCACTCGTCGAGTAGATACTGAAGTTGACCCTCCAGCTGCTAATAAAACTGTTTATCATCCGCAAATGTCGCTGTCATATACATAAGTAGAGTCAGATGGGAGGTCACTGGTAAAAAGCAAATAAAGCATTGTCCCTAACGTACGCAACCTCATACCATTGATGTGTTGGTATGAGGTGTTTATGAACGATTGTTGGTTTAAGCCTATTTATGAGTACATTCTCAAAGATTTTTGATAAAGCTGGCAGTAGCGAAATATGTCTATATGTTGTAAAATTGTGGACTGATTTACCCAGCTTAGGTATAATTATGACTTCAGATACTTTTCAAAGCGAAGGAACGTATCTTAAGCCTAATGCACTTTATAATCTTTACAAGTTTTTTTTATATAAGGTGTGTTCCAAAGTAAACAAGACTTCAAAAAAAAAAGAACATGTGGGTTTTTCGGCAAATTCAATTTATTTTATTCAATATATTGTTCTTCTGCTTCCATACAGCTTTTTGAATGGCCTCTACGTCTGCATAACGCTTTCCTTTCATTGGCAAATGCATTTTCTGAAAAGGAAGAAGTCGTACGGTGCTATATCAGGTGAATACGCGGAGTGCATTCGCATTATCGTACAACACACGCCATCTTTTACCTTCGTGATATTGGGCAGAAAACGTCGAATACGAGGTGTGTTCAAAAAGTATCGCGAATTTTGAATTTTCGCGAGTTACGTATATTCGAATTTCGAATTTTTTGTGGCTTTATGTTGGTACTCATGTCTCTTACTCATGCCGACAAGTTCGGTCATTTTGAATGTTCATTTAATTGTTGGCAGCTGCTTTGCTTGCACGTGTTTTGGATCGTCTTCGATTTTTACCTATTAAAAAAAATGGATCAAAGTTGGTGGATCAGGTTGTATCAAATTTTGTGTGAAAAACCAAATTAAGTGCATTCCAAATGTTGACTGTATCATACGGAGAAGCTACCTTGGACCGAAGCAACGTTTATCGGTGGTAAAAAAAGTTCTCAAAAGGCCGAGAAGATGTGACAAAATTGGCTTTTACACCACGAAAACGCTACTGATCACATATCGTTGCTTGTGCGCGACTTTTTGGCCAAAAACAACACACTAATGATGYCGCAGCACCTTATTCCCCAGATCTGGCCCCTGTGAATTTTTCTTGATCCCTCAATTGAAGAGGCCCATGAAAGGACGAAGTTACGCTTCTCTTGACGATATAAAGACGGCATCGAAGGAGAAGATAAAAAAAAAAATGATTTTTTGAAATGCTTCGAAGATTGGAAAAGCCGTTGGCACAAGTGTATAATATCTCATGGGGATTACTTTGAAGAGGACAAAATAAATAAATAATTTTTGAAAAAACACAAAATTCGCATAATTCTTGAACACACCTCGTAAATTCATGAAATTCTAACGTACAAATCGATATATAGATGGCGCCACCAAGGGGCGCTGGTTTCCCGTTCACTTTGGAACGCACCTTGTATAACCCTATATATAATATATCTCACTTAATTTTAGGTGATACATATAACTGTTAGGTGAACAAAACCATTACACTCTGTAGCAACATGTTGCTAGAGTATAAAAATACAAAATAGCTAGCAATTTTTGTAGAGCAGTAAATTTCTTACAAAACTAGGAGTTTTCTGGCTTGCTTTATAATATTTTTTTTTGCGTAGAGCTATAAAATCGTAAAAAACATTATTTTTTCTTTAAAATATTCAAATTAATTTTTCGATGAGCATTMAAAATCCACAAAATATTCGCTTGTTTGACCGCTCGTAATATATAATATGTATGTACAATAGGGTGGGTCGATTCCGGACTTTTTTCGATTCGGGATTTCTAATAGTGCGGAAAAGTTGCCTTAGTACTTCCTGATTCCAATGCAACTTTTTGTTTTGAGATCGGCCTGCATCTTCAAACCCAACTTGCCTTGAAACTTCGGAAATTCACCTAAAATCGTGAAATTGTCTACCTAGCGCCTGACAAATAACTTTTGTTTTATACATTTTGCCATGAGATGCGTATTATCTCATGGCAAAATGTATAAAACAAAAGTTATTTGTCACGTCATTTGCTACCGAAATGGTATATCTGATCATGGCCGTAGGACGAACCGTTCCCGAGGTACGAGCGAAAAGGCGGCGCCCCACAGCGCAAAGTGAAAATTGGCTTGCGGCCACACTTCTTGACGTTGATTTCGCCGAGTGCTATCACTCACATTCATTCCCCTATGCCAAAGGACACGTTCGGATAGGTCTCCACACAAATATTTTTTCATCGAGTTCCTTCACTCATGTCGTTGATTTCGCCTAGTGCTATCACTTATATTCTTTCAACAGAACACAGAACTCAAAATTTCTGTATCTAAATTTATATTTAGACAGAAATGTCCTGTGTTTGGCATATATCCGTACAATCTCTCTGAGTCCCAGTTACCTACTTACCAGGATGTTCTTTTGTGTTATCAGTTTGAAAGATTTCGTATAGGGCGACTCCAAGGCGACAACTATGAACCTAGGAGTAAAGAGGTTACAGAAATAGTTGCAAAAAAGGTTGAAAATACTTTCAAAAAGTCATCTATTCCGATAGTTTCACACCACAGTTGCACAAATGCTCACCACATACCATAAGAAATTTCTGACTCTTAAACAAATGTTTTTAAGGAACCCAATAGGTTTGAGCTCTAAAAGAGACGACTTTGTCTCCTCTTGTCTAAAGGAAAGAAAAGTTCCTATCAATGAAAAACAATTTCTCTTGGGCCAGAGAACCAGACGAATTGGTCGCATTGGAAGTATTGATCCATCTGAAACAAAAAAGATTACAAAGAAAAATGAACGTAAAGAAAAGCTTTCAAAACGTCCATCAACATTTACCAGAAAAGTATCAGCTAGAACACGTGATCATTAAGATCAGCCAGACTCTCATACAGACGATAACAATGTAGGTGCGTCGCACATGGATTCTTCCAAAAACGATGCTGATGATGAATTTTTTCTTCCATCCCCTAAAACCAAACAAAACACACTAGTATTAGAACACACTGCTTTAGCTGCCCACAGATTTGGAGTAAGTGATAGAGCAGCGGCCTTGATTGTTTCA